CCAGCGACTCTTCAAATGACCAAAGGCACATTCAACTGCCATTCTACACCTGCTGAGCCTGTAGTTGAACTCCTTGGTACTGTCATGGTGGCCAGTGTATGGCTTCATGAGCCAGGGGAGCCAGGTGTAGGCAGGGTCTCCCAGGATCACTATTGGCATTTCACCATCCCCAATGCTAATCCACCGGTTGGGAAAGAAAGTCCCTGTTTGCAGCTTTCTGAACAGTCCTGTGTTCTTAAAGATGCACACATCATGCACCTTCCCTGAACAGCCCACATTGATGTCAGTAAGGCATCCTTGGTGATTCACCAGTGCTTGCATTACCATAGAAAAGTAGCCCTTTCTGTTCATGAACTCTGTGGCAAGATGGTCTGGTGCTAAAATAGGGGTATGCATGCCATCTATCCCCCCCCCCCCCCACACACAGTTCGGGAAGCCCACTGCTGCAAAACTATCCACTAAGTCTTGCCCAGAATTACAGTCCTTTGTAGCAGGAGGTGATTAATGTTTGTATACACTTGCATCACAGTAGGGTTACCATATTTCCCAAAGGGACACTATGTGGGGCTGGCCTGAGTCCCATCCCTCAGCCACTTGCCCAAGCCCCCTCCCCGCGGATCTGGCTCCAGCCACTTGCCCAAGCCCCCGACCCTGCATAGCTGGCCCCAGCTGCTCACCCGAGACCCTCCCCGAATGGGACTGTCACTGGTTGCTCAAGTGCTCCCCACTCCCCCCCCCACGAGGCTGTCGCTGGTCACTTAAACTCTGCTGGTCCCACGCTCTAGGCTCTAGCTGGTCGCTCAAACCCTACCTGCCCCCTGCACGCTGAAACCCTTCCTTCCTCTTCCCCCCCACCAGAGCCCTGCCTCCCCCCCACGGGGCTGGCATCTCCACTTGCCCCCCCCCACATGTTCCTCCTCACTGCACCCCACTTTTTTGGCAAAAGTGGGCATTTGTCCCGTTTGCTCTTGCCAACCGATCAGGTTAGCAAGAGCAAATGGGACAAATGCCCACTTTTGCCAAAAGTCAGGACAGCCGGGACAGGGCTTAAAAAAGGGACTGTCCTGGCCAAAATGGGACATATGGTCACCCAAACCTGTGGTGAATATCCCAACTCCAAATTGATTCCTGACGGACCGGTAGCAATCTGGTGTTGCAAGTTGCTACAGTGCAATTGCTATTCACGTCTCAACGGTCAGTGTGGATCTCATTTTGGTATTGCTACACTGGACGGTTGGGGATGAGCTCTGCGCACCGATCCAGGAATGTGGTCTTGCACATCCAAAAGTTCTACAGCCACTGATAGTCATCCCAAACCTGCATAACAATGTGATCACACCAGTCACTGCTTGTTTCTTGGGTCCAGAACTGGTGCTCCACTGTTTGCAGCTGCTCCATGGATGTCAACAACAACTTTGAATCACAGGTGCCAACTTTCAGCTTTCCCCAGGGGTGCTCCACCCCCACTTGGCCCTGCCCCACTCCGCCCCTTCCCCCAAGGCCCCACCCTTGCTCCACGTCTTCCTGCCACTGCTCCACCCTCTCCCTGAGGCTGCACCCCCACCCCGCCTCTTTCTGCCCCCTCCCCTGAGCATGCCCCACCCTTGCTCTGCCTCTCCCCACCCCCACTCCTCCCTCTCCCCCCAGCGCCCATGAACCCATGCTCCAATCACCCCTGAGTAACTCTTTTTAGCCCCATGAGGCACTGCAAAAATTTCCAAAACACTCTGTTGTAGCGGGGTGGTCACCCACTCCTGGCCTGAAAGGGGTTAAAAGCCAGCCCTTGGAGAGGGCTGGGGCTGGGACCCTTAGGCTGGGCTGATTGGGAGGCAGCCTCAGCTGTGGCCACGCCCCAAACAGACCCAGCTGGCCCTATAAAAGCCAGGAAAGACAGACCCTTATCAGTCTTTCTCTAGCGGTAGAGGGAGATGGGCCTGGCTGCTTGGGATCTGAGCAGAGTACCTGAGTGGAGCAGGGCTGGGGAAAGGCAGAGGAGCTGGGGAGGCTCCAGCTTGGAAAGCCCCAGGCTGTGGCCTAGCAGAAGGCCAATGGGTACTGGGGGTTGCAGAGGACAGCCCAGGGGTAGGCAAAGGCAGCAGGTCCAAACCCAACCTTGCCGGTGATGAGTGGCTGATACTGCAGTCTGCCCCAGGGCGTGGGGGCTAGATGGTGACTGGCAGTAGCCTTATACTGAGGCAAGGTGGGGATAGTGGGTGGGGGTTCCCTGGGGAGGGGAGACCCTGAGAGAAAGGCGTTACTGCCAGGGGGCAGCACTCCAGATAACAGAGCACTGGGTCTGGGAGGGACATGGGGGGCCAAGCGACAGCGGGCCACCGGCCTGCAGAGGCACTCCAAGGCTGGCAGAGCTAATTCCCAGAGACAACCAGCAGGAGGTGCTGCAGGGGTGAGTCCCACATGCTTACATTTTGCAGAATGGGGGCGAGTTGCACAGTGGGACAGCTATCCATGGTGCACTGCTCTCTGCATCAATACAAATCCTCCTGGTGAGGATGCGCACCATTGACACAAGGACCGTAGTGTGGATGTGGATGGGTATGAGCCATGTAATAGCTGCGGCAGCTGCCAATGTAACTTAGATTGACATAATTTTGTAGTACAGGCATGGCCTAAAATGGGGTAAAGGTTGGATGACCTATCACCATAGTTGGAAGAGTTCCTCTGTATGCAACATATTTGTTTACAGACTACAGCTGGAGGGTTCTGATTGCTTGGGGTTTCTTCTGGAAGATTGTTATTATTATAGATTCACATGGAGTACAATTTAATGTAATGTAACTTCCTCTGAATGCTGTAAAAGCCCCTTTTTTTGGAGATGTAAAACCAATCTCCCTACCACTTGGAGTCATTAAATATCACTTTCACCTTTCCATGAGAGGTGAGCTGTTAACCTGTGTCCTTACCAAATTCCAGTTCAAGTAATTACAGCCTGCCTCCCTACATTATGCCAGCAGATTCAGTTGGCTATAATAAGCTACTTAACTTCCTGTCCTAAACTGCTGTGCAGTGTTTCTAAATAACTTCTGAATTCCTCCCCAGTTGTTGCTGCTTTTGAGTTGTGCTAAAGTAATTCCTATTTGTAAAACATGTTGGGATCCTTCAGGATGAAGGCACTATATGTACTGTTGCTTAATGCCATATATAGCGAATATGTTGCATGCCATAATGTCAGTGGCCATATGCAAGAAGCATATTTATTTGGAATCAGTGTCATGTGACAGTGGTAAAGAATCATATAAAGAGTTGCTCTGTTCTAACACTGAAAGGTTCTTTACTAGAATTAAAAAAAAAAAAAAAAAAATTGATCCTTAAAGCTTCTCTCTCTCTCTCGCTCACAGCTTCACTGTGTGTAGAGCATCTGTGTAGAACCTTCCCCAGCCCACACATGCCTGACTTCCTGTGACAGATTTAAAGAAACAGAACACACATCCTTATGTACAGTGCAGTTCGGGGGGGGCTGCAGGGATCATGGTCATCCAACTTTAATATGTGGAACAGAATCTATGTCCCTATAGTTGGTGGTGGGGATGGAGCTGGAGGTGGAAGGAGGAGCGAGATCTGCTCCTCAACAGGGTAGAGTTTAAATACCTGACAGACCTGCTTCCATCATGTGGAATAGTATCAGAAAACAAATCTTAATTGCGCAGGGTAAAATGCCAGTCTAGTAACATCTTGAAATAGACCTCTTGCAACAGTGACATGGGAGGTTAATTTTTGTCCAAGGTAATATAGGAATGAATTTCATTTGACCTCTGCTCCAGGGATTCTTGACACAAGCTGTAAGGTTTTCAATCGTACATTTCTTTACTCAGCCAGGTCTGTTTTAGTTTTCACTCTTGTGCAGGGCCAAGTACATTGCTGACCCTTAAGAAATAATACACCCAAAAAACTACACTACAAGGACATTATTGAGGTTGCAAAGTCAAGCAGTCAAATGCCAGAATTAAGGTTGGCTATGCAACCTTATTTCAGCCCTCTTGTGCATATGCATTAGGATACAATCTTTAAATACTGTATATGATTACATACTAATTTTTTTCCATAGGAACCTTGACTCATTCAGTCCACATGGTTCCTACTCCCAGTGTCCTTGTCCAGGTAGTCCCAAGCTCCACAGCTCCTCATCTGATCTCAGTCCCTTCCAGGCTCCCAGTCACAGCCTTCTTGACCAGCCAGTCCCAGTTTTTTCCTCTCTACTGCTCCAGTCCCAGTCTCAGCAGCAGGCTTGTCTCAGTGTACTCCTCCCCCTATTCCCCCCAGCTTTAGTCCCTTCTGCATTTGAATCAGGAAGCTTCCTCCTCCACATCGAGTGGGTCCCAGCAGTAGGGTCATTGAGAGCACAGAAAAGACAGGTTCCCTTCTCTCAGTTCCAGTGCCTGCTTGCCCCACCCTACTCCAGAGCAGCCATCACAGGGAAGATCTGGTTTTGCTCCTGTGTAACCTGGGGGAAAGGAGGGAGCATGCACCAGTCTTTCTGTGGGGATGGTGTATGTGCAGTCAGTTCACATATAGAAGCATGTTCAGTCACTCTGAGGATTCAGCCAGTAGCCCAGTGCTTTTCATCAGTAAATCTTAACATGTTTTACAAAGGTCAGAACCATTATCCCCATTCTACAGATGGGGAAACTGAGCCACACACAGAGGTCTCCCACCAGTGCCATAGAACCCAGCTCTCCTGAAGAAGGGCGTCATTTGCGTGGAGACCCAGGGGCAGTGGTACCCCTCAGAAGAGCCTAGTGTGCACCTGGCTGAGTGTAGACAGGCCTGTGCGGGGGGCGTGTAGATCTAAAGTTACCCCAGGGGCAGACGCCGCCTCAGCTCGGCCGCGCTTCGCCCCTTCCCCCGACTCCGCGTGAGCCGGCACTGACGGGCAGCCCCGCTCCACCAATGGGAGGACGGGGCGTGGCTCGCGGAGGCTCGGGGGTTGGCGGTGGCGCGCGGGCCGGCCTACGCAGGGCGAGGGCTGGGCCGGTGGTTATAAATCTCCGGGGCAAAGCGCTGCCGCGCCGTTCGGTCCCGAGTCCTTGGCGGGGCGGCGAGTTGGCCGGGACCCAGCGGGGCGGGAGCGAGGCGCCGCCGCCGGTAAGCGCGGTGGGGGGGGGCTCTGGTCGCGTGTGGCCGGCTGGGCTCTGGAGCGTCGCCCCGCGGCGGGGCCCTGCTGTGGGCATCGCTCCCGGCCGCTCGCGGGGGCCGCTGCGCCGGCGTCTGCTCGCGCTGGCGCCCGGGTCTGCAGAACGTCCAGTGCGACCGCGCGGCTGGCGGCGCCGAGGGGCTTTTTCCCGGGGGCGGCTCGTTAAGTCCCATTCCTGGGGGGGGGTCACTGGGGCGCAGCCGTAGCGCGTAATGGCCACTGGCCGGAGACCCGGGTGCTGGACAGTGCCCGGTGCGCGCCTCTGGCCGGCCTTATTCCCTCTCCTGAGCCCGGCAGCCCCGTGACGGCAGGCGCCCGCGCAGGGGTCACATTTGTCTTTACATGTTGGCGTGGAAAGCGGAGTGACTGACATTCCTGTTGCGCGCCCCCTCCCCCCTCATTAAAAGCTTCAGCTCGGCTTTCTTGGGTGAAAGAGAAAACTGCCTCAGAGGGATGTGTCCTTGCCTCGGTGCCCTGCTTCATGGCATGCGTCAAGAAAGCTGCTGCTGCTCGGCCTTGCTCATCTCCTCCAGTGCCTTCCCAGTTCTTCAAGGGAGAGGACTAGGGCAGGCAATAGGCCAGGGGTTCTCAAACTGGGGGTCGGGACCCCTCGGGGTCACAAGGTTATTACATGGGGGGGGTCGCGAGCTGTCAGCCTCCACCCCAAACCCTGCTTTACATCCAGCATTTATAACGGTGTTAAATATATAAAAAAGTGGTTTTAATTTATAAGGGGGTCACACTCAGAGGCTTGCTATGTGAAAGGGGTCACCAGTACAGAAGTTTGAGAGCCACAGCTATAGGCTGACAAGTATGGGGAACAAAGATGGCTTAATTTTGTACCACAAAAAACACTTGTCGTCTTTGGAAAAGTACTAACGTGTGTTGTCAGCTCTATTAAAAACTACTGCGATAGTGGTGAGAACAGGATGAATTCCAATGTGGATTTGGGCATTGGGTAAAATATTTGAAATCTGTGTCTAGTGGCTTTTTCTTGTACTGTGACAGTTGGAAAACAGGCATTACAAATAATTCCTGCATAAAATACTGTGATCGGAGGGAAATTGAGTTACTTTGGGTCTGCCTTCAGATTTGCTGAGGGTCTGCTGCTTCCAGTAACTTCATTTGGAGTTCTGGATTCTCCGCACTTCTGAACATAAGGCCCAAGATTAAGAAGGCTTCGTTTTTTTTGTTTTTACTTTTTTGCTTTGGCAAATATAGAAGATACCAACATTAGTGGCTACATGTTGCCTCGCCATCAGATTTATAAAATGAATGTTGTCTATAGAGAAGATAGGTCATGTATTGTACCCAACATTTCTCATAATAAAAGAACAAGGACATTCAGTGAAACGAAAATGCAAATATCTAGATATTTGTATGCAAATATGGTAGTAAGCCAATGCTAACCTGCTTTTTGATTGTACAGTTAACTTTTTAATTGCAAAAGAACAGACCCAAAAAATTCAGTAATGACTAACTTAAAAATCACACTGGATATGAAGCCATAGATTAATATTAGCTCAGCTAGAATTGTAGGAACATGGGTGGGGAGGCACTTTTTTGATCTTAATAGTCAATCATAATAGTATTGAGTTATATGCTCCTAAAATGATCCCTGATAAGTATTTGTTATAGCCTTTTACAATCAAGGTATTGGTAGTCAAAACACTTGTTGAATATCCTGATTCAAATCTAGATGTGTGACAGCATTGTTAACTTTCTGGTAACCAGAAAGTCAATTAAATATCACATTTATTCTTTTAATTTTTCTGAAGGTTAATGTTTTAATTGATAATGCATTTGAGTTTATTTTAAAATGTTCTGTTATAAGCGTGCCAAGCTTCCTAATATGTAATACAGTGCTTTGCTGTATCAGTTTACTGTACAGTGACACACATTATAGTCTAGATCTCTTGCTGCTGTAGTAAAAAAAAAAAATGCATTTGAGGGAGGAATATTAGTAACAAGTTCAGAATATTGGGCAATATAGTTCTCCTAAAAATACTAATATTTTGTATCTTTCAAATACCTATTAAAAGCTGTTGCTGCCTCTTATAGAAAGAAGAATCCAGAAGAATGTCGGCACTGAACTGGAAGCCATTTGTTTATGGAGGCTTAGCTTCAATCACTGCAGAATGTGGTAAGTAGTTAATCTTCTAACTGTTTGCATGACTTATTCTACATTAGGAGGTTCAGTTTCAACTCACAAATTTATCTAGTGTGAAAAATAAAATAGCTACTGCAATAGATTACTAACTTATATTTAAAAGTGCGTCCAGAAGAACTTAAATTTTGAAGGGCTATTGTTGCTTTTTGTCTAAAATGTGTATTTTTGAAGTAAAGGAGAAAAATAGTCACCAACCCAATTGATGATTCTCAAGTGTTCTTTCATATTGCCAAATAAAAGTTTGTCATGTTAACTTGGTTTTTTAAAGAAAAAGGAATTGAGGAATTGTTTGCTCCAAGATATCCTTAAGTGCCCCTTAAATTTTTATTAAAGGGGGAAGTCTTGAATGCTGGATTTTTGTGTGTGAATTTGTGGCATTGAGATCTGGAAATGTGGTATTGGAAATAGTACTGATCTTATTGGCTTTAGGTCTCATGTGACAAGCAATTTCAGTTTAGTCTGTTGAATTTTTGAACAGAATTTTACAGATGGTAGAGATATAGAAAATAGAAATAACAGCAGTCAAGTAAATGGTGAACTAGAGTACTGCATCTACGCTTATTTATATGAGAGTTTTCATGGTTATTTATAGCTGTCCAATAGAGTATTATGATAAAATATGGTAGTGATCTCATAACAGGGGTTAAAACGCAAATAGAGGCTAGGTCTACACTATGGGGGGGGGGTCGACGCAACTTCAGCTACGTGAATAGTGTAGCTGAAGTGGCGTATTTTAGGTCGACTTACCTGGCTGTGAGGACGGCGGCGAGTCAACCGCTGCTGCGCCGCCGTCGACTCCGCTTCCGCCTCTTGCTGCGGTGGATTTCCGGAGTCGATGGAAGAGCCATCGGGGATCGATTTTATCGCGTCTTCACTAGACGCGATAAGTCGATCCCCAATAGATCGATTGCTACCCGCTGATTCGGCGGGTAGTGAAGACGTGCCCAGAGATTATGGGGGTAGATGTGAAGAAGCAGCCATTTCTTCCTCAGGCCTTGAGAGAATTTGTGTAACATATTATCAGGAGCAATTCCTTTTTTGGAAGAAATAATTTTCTTAAATTTGTAGACAATAAGTGCCTGTACAGTTTCTGATTCCCAAAATTTTTGCCCTTGTGTACAGCTTGAAACATCTAACAGCAAAGTAAAATCATGATAGCCTTTCAATTCACTTAACATCATGAGTATAATTTAGCGCACACAGTCTAAATCGGCTGAATCAAATTTTTCACTAACGACAAGTAACACAGTATAGCTATTGATGTATAATCTCACAGAAAATGAACTTTGAGAGTCTGCTTTTAAGCTGCACCCATTTAGAGCCAAATTCTGAAGACCTTTTCTTATATAAGTAATTCTTGTTCATGTCCATAGTTGCACTGATGTCAGTGGGAACTAATCACATGATCAAGGGGATTTGTAGGTCCAGGCCTTCTGCTACAAACCACATAAGAAACTGAAGTTCCTGTTTTGTCTCTCTATAACTTGATATTAAAGCACAGGCTGCTACTGTAGAGCTCTCTATAAAGCCATCTATTATGGTTCTTCATTTGAGTACAAATGACAAGCTCTGTTAGCCTGCAACTAATTATACATTTTCTCTTGTCTTTAGAAAAAACTGAGGTTCTACATTATGTTAACATTTTTGTTTATTATGTATTTGCTTTGGCTAGACAAATGTTTCATGTTAAATTAATATATGTTTTCCTCCCCTGACTTTAAGGTACTTTCCCAATTGATCTGACCAAAACACGTCTCCAGGTTCAAGGTCAAACTAATGATGCCAAATTTAAAGAGATTCGTTACAGAGGAATGGTGCATGCACTAGTGAGGATATGGAGAGAAGAAGGGTTGAAAGCACTATATTCTGGGTAAAATAAAATATACTTTATGTAACCAGTTTGCATTTGTGAATTTTGGGACAGTTTATGAAAAAATATGATCGCATACAATAGTATTGGGTTTTATAAATATGATTTTTTTTTTTTTAGTTAGCCCCACTTAAAAAAGATCGTGAGGGAGAGGCAGGCCACATCGGACAAAGTATTTGAATAGAAATGGTTCAGAAAATAGTGCATAATTTCAAAGTACAATATTTTTACATCATGGTAATTGCTACGTGTGAATGGCATCTTATTTTTTAATAAAACTTACCCACTGTAGTAGAAGGGAGGTTTTTCATAGTTTGCTTTGAGATTGTAGGTGTACTGTTATAACTGTATTTCACAATGCATTATATTTTTGGAAAATTCATCCAAATAGACCAATAAGATACCATATAACTTCCATGTAAGTTATTGAGAAGTCATTTTTACTACTATATTGTACGATAAACCCTCCATCCACTAATGTAAGTCAGGTATATCATTTCATATTAGTGATGGCAAAAGTAAATTTAAATCCCAACTTCATTTGTGTGGTGTCCTTGGGAGTCCATTTGTAGGGTTAACATCTCTACTGAACTGATGATTAATACAAGCATGAACTTTCATAGAAATGAAGAATGAGTGTGATACGTGTGTATTAGAGCTTAGGTGTAGTAAACTTGTAGTAGCAAAATCATCTTATGTCATAGTATATCGTTGCACATGCAATGCGTCAACTATAACAATAGCAGTAAAAATCCATTTGGCTTTCATTGTTGTGCTGTTTATAGGTCATTAGATTAAAAAAAATCCTGTTTCTTATGAAATCAGTGGTGACCATATTTTTAAGAGATTTGTTTTCCTACACAAAAGTGAAAAACTGGTATTCTCTCATTGTAGCTGACATAAAATTGAAACATACATGTGCTGTGCATATTTGTATTCAAATGTAGCTTTTATACTTTAGTGACATCAAGTTTTAAACTCCCACTGTTAATGTCAAGCGATACTTTCAAAGTACCACATCAAGTTACAGGAAATCTTAAATACTGTTTTAAAACATTATTCAAAGAATATCTTTTGTTCTGTATACATCGATTTTTAGATTTTCAGCTAGTGGCCAAGTAGGAAATGATTGCTAAATTAGTACCAGTATTCATTATGGCAGTCACTGTGGTCAGGTTTTTTCCTCCACCCTTTTAAAAGGATTGGTAGTACCACCTTACCTTCATTTCTTTCATACTTGAATATAATCTTTACTGAAAGCCTTCCCCCTATCTGTACTGGTTCTGAAATAATCTGGTTTAAATGAACAAACCTTTCACTTTTTGTGCATAACCTGAGTTCAGCCTATTCTACTCTAAAAATTTGTTGAATAAACCTTATTTGTGGTTACTGAGACTTCAGGAAGCTTTGAAGATACAAGTTATCTGCTTCTTCCTATTTTTATAGGATTGCCCCTGCAATGTTACGCCAGGCTTCATATGGAACAATAAAAATAGGCACCTACCAAAGCTTGAAGAGAATGTTTGTTGAGCAACCAGAAGGTGAGTGGGTTTTTCAGCTTTGTTACCACTGCTTGTTAATATAGTTCATCTAGAGTTGTTTGTATTGTTTCCATATCGGTCATATGATGCATACATACATTGTATTGTATCAATGAAATGTATGTATGCATCAGCTTCATATTTATTCATTGTAAAAATGGTTCTGCAGATGAAATTCCAATAAAAATTGAGCTATCTTTACAAAAAAAAAAAAATTGACTTTGAGGGTATAGCTCCTTACTTTCAACTGACTTTCATTAAAGAAGGTAAAGCATTGACTTGCACTTGATGTCTTATCACAGTGTAAAAGCCTGTGGCTGAGAATTTGTTTTTGCTTCTGGAATAGATGAAACCCTGGTGATAAATGTATTATGTGGCATTCTTTCGGGGGTGATTTCATCATCTATTGCCAACCCTACAGATGTTTTGAAGGTAAGTGGTATTTTTTATCAAGTTTCTATTTTCGGCATAGGTTCCTTTGTATTCTTGAGATGAGAACAGTCTACTGATGATCATTGCATGCTGTGTTGTGTTGCTTTAAATATACTCACTTTTTGCAAATTACTTAATAGTTCAGAAAGGTTCCAGGGGAAGAACTGAACTATAGAAATTTCCCTCCAGGCATGCTGGTCAGCTGGAGGCATGCAATTAGATGAAATCAGTGTCCTTGGAGGCAAGGAGAACCACTTGATTACTTACTTTTTTTTTTTCTTGCTTCAGAGCACAATGAACTACTAAAGTTGCTCTTGCCCTCCCCTTGCCCCAAACTTGACATGTGCTGAAGCTGTACTCTAAATTTAAAAAATCTGTGTGAGTTGACCTACACTGCTTACAATGCTGTTCATTTGGAAGTATGTAAAGGACCACTTACCCATCACGGACATCCAGAAATCTCTAGGTTGGAAGAAGTATTAGGGTTCTAGGAAAAAAAATCCAGTAGGTTAGGATCTCCATTGTCTCCTATGAAAAACTAGTAGCACAGTGCCCCTTTGAAACAATGCCCCTGCATGGTGCATTAATGACTTGAGCAGAGTGCCACCTAGTGAAATCACCCACACCACGTTTTCAGCAACAGTTTTAAAATTTGTGGGTATCTCCTGTCCAAGTACTGGTAAGGTTGATCTTATTTAACTTACAAGATCATGGCCTGAGATTACTTGGCTGCTTCTGCACATGCTATAGTTTCCTGAGAATTGAGGGGGGAAAAATCTTGCTTTTTACATAGTGCCTAATTTTAGTCCTCCTTCCTCTCAAATAAAATAGACTGAAAACAAATTGTTTACAACCTCCCATTTCATAGCAGGGTTAGTGGAAGTATCAACACAGGTAAGCCTTTATCGGCTCCATTCTGGAATAATAGTGTACTATGTGACAGAGGACAATACCCTGGACAGACTTTAATGAATTAAGTTAAATGTCACTGGAGTTCATTGTATTAAAAATGCAATTGTTTGTGTTATGAGATTGTGTATAACTTTTTTTTAGAAGAAGGGTGATGCTAACATAATTCTTCTGGTTATTGGCCCTTTGAAGCTACCTCTGCAGAGCTTCGTATAACCTAGGTCAAACTGGTTTCTCCAGGAACCAATGGACAAAGAAAAGATTTTTGGATAAAGAGCCTGGTTTTAAACAGGTTCACGGCCATTCTAATCTGCAAATGGACAGGACTTCTGGTCCAAGGTGGGCCCCAATCTTTAGGGAAGAGTTGAAAAGAATGTGGCCTACTGAGGCCACATAAGACTGAGCACTTGTTCTGAGTTGAAGGTGTGATGAACTTACGACCATAGGGCGCACTGCTACGTGGGTGGGGTTTGAAGGACTAATCACCAATCAGAGTCCTTGTTGTATCGTGGGGGTGATCTCTGGCAAGCTTATTAGCATGTATGCAGGTTTTAATGTTTCTGGTGTTTTCTCTGTAATGCTTTCTAGCTTAAGAATAAATCTGCTTGCTTAGAAATAGCAGTGTGGTAACTCATAACTGACAATCACACTGTATTGTCTCAGAGGAGAGACTTGAATCGTGCCTGCTTAGACAGTCTCTCTTTTGCTGGGAAAATCACATGGTCAGGAATGTATGCAGCCTGTAAATACCCCAGTCAGAAGGGACAGAGATGCATGTCTCCACTGAAGAGGCAATGGTTGTGGAGCTGGAAGCCTGGGGGGGGGGTGCCCTTTCTGGACCATAGAGGGAGAATACAGCTGCAGTTGTCCTGAACTTGTGACAGGCTCCATTCCGTAGTGATGGTATGTATGCTGGGCTGGGTGACACTATTAACTCCCAAAATTAGGGGTGAATACTCATTTGCTTGTCACACTTGCCATGAATCCAGCAATTTGTCCTTGAAAAATCAGTCTTTAATTTCAAATCGAAAGTCAAGTACATAGTTCTTCCGAGCTGAAACTCTCATCATATTTAAAGGTGCCACAGGACCCTCTGTTGCTCTCATCATATTGACCTTTTGTGTTAAGATGTAGCTGGTGAGTTCAAGGGAGAACGCTGTAACGGACACCATGCAGAAGTCTTCTGTCAATCTAATCTACATGTTAATGCACCAATTCAAAAATAGCAGTGATTTGTGGTAACTAATTTAAAAGCTACACCAAGTACTAGTTCAAATTCAACTGTTCCAAATATAGCAGCTGTAGTCGAAGGATAGCTGATACATATCTACAGATAGCTGGTATTACCATGATGCAGTCAGTCCATACTTGTATAGTTGAGAAGCAGAGATCATATTTTGAAAATGTTTTAAACTGTGTTATTTTGCAGCGCCTCTTCGTAAGGTTGAGAAACTCGACTAAATTATTGTTTTTAGTGTTTGAAAACTGATAACTGCTTTTTGTTTTGGGCTGCCTTAGATCAGAATGCAGGCCCAAGGCAGTGTGATTCAAGGAGGAATGATGGGCAATTTCATACAAATTTACCAAAAAGAAGGCACTAGAGGACTATGGAAAGTAAGTTCTTCAACTATTACACTAACTTTTCTGAGGTCGTTCTTGCAATAGTGCATAAAAAAAAAAATCCATTTACTATTGTACATATTGTTGCATGTAGTTCTGCAATGTCGACCAAAATATTGGTGTAACATGTACCTAAAGTTGTATATATGTGTCTATTTTTTACTGCTATATTGCTTGCCATTCAAGGATTTCAAAAGCAGTTGAGAAGTATTAATGTATGTAGATAGACTCATCACCTCTTTGGAGTAGTATCTCCATTTTACAAAAGGAGTGTAGTGTACAAGAGTGAGAGTTTATGGACATACTAGGGCAGAGTTCAGGTTACGTTGGCATGACCATTACCTCTTCAATTCCTGGTTTTCAGAGGTTTGAATGTCACTAAACTTGACATTTTGGAAGGGTTCAAGACATCACTGAGCAAAGTTAACTCCAGGTTAATGACATTTCTGGTCAGTGAGCTTCCTAGTTTGAGTAATATTTTTTTGTAGGAGTTAGTGGTCATTTACGCAGTTGTAGTTATTTCATAGGTTTGCAGTTGAGATGCTACCATGGCTAGTGGTGATGTCTAGCTCATAGCATTTTTCATCAGTAGATCACGAAACTTTACAAAGGAGGTTAACATCATTATATTATTCACCCAGCGGGTCAGTGGCATAGCCAGAAACACACCTCTACCTCGATATAACGTGACCCGATATAACACAAATTTGGATATAACGCGGTAAAGCAGTGCTCCGGGGGGGCGGGGATGCGCACTCCGGTGGATCAAAGCAAGTTCAATATAACGCGGTTTCATCTATAACGCGGTAAGATTTTTTTGGCTCCCGAGGACAGCATTGTATCGGGGTAGAGGTGTAGATCCCAGGTCTAAGTCCCAGTTCTGTGCTCTCTACTAGGCCACATGGTTATGTGATTCCTATTTACGCTTCCACCTTCCTGTGCACTTTGTTATAGTGGAATGGGGACAGTGGTCATGCTTTGAAATGTTTTGGAGGGTATAACTGCTGACAGGACTGGTGAGAGGACTCAAAACTATCAGGAGTTTGGGACAAACTGTCTATTACATGGCATTTTCAGTAACTAAGCAAGTGAGAGAAGACTGGTGTCTCTGTCCTTCACCACTCTTTCCCCACCATTCCCTGCGACATCTAGCCCCAAGCCAGCATCTAGCTCACCCTCCCTTTCCAGTCCCATTTAGCCATTAGCATATAGAAGGTTGTTCCTTGCTGCATAAATATGATGTGGCACCCTCTGCTGCATACATGTGATGGGCAGCAGCTTACTGGAGGATTGCACACTTCCTTGGTTAGATAGACTGGGCCCCCTTTGCCCCTGCTTCAGGCAGGTTTCCCCAGCTTTCCCCAAACCTATCTGGTCTACCCCATGCAGGGGAGTCACCTTGACTCATTTCCTGGTTTTTAGAGGTTTCAATGTGCTTTACCTTGATCCTAGCTCACAAGGAGAGCAGAGGGGGCTTCTATCCCCAAACGGGTAGAACTTTCCCAGATCCTGGCACACAGGAGGGGAAAATGGGGAGCTGACAGGCTCCCACTCTCTCTGACTTGAGCCCCCAACCTCTTCCTCTCCCCTTCCCTTACTCAGCCCCTCCCCTACTCCTCTGCCTCTAATCCTCCCAGCAATTGTTTGCATGTGTAACTTATTTTCTCCTAAGAAATAGTTTGAGCACCTTCTGAATTACCTGCTGTACTCAGTATCTATCCCCTCCACCCCAAAAAAATACCCTGGTACAAGGGGATTGTACAAAATATGCAAATAGATGTTTCAAAGATTTCTGCCAAGTGTAGGTTTCAAACTTATTGCTGTGTGTAGCTCAAGTTCAATGACCGTATCATGTCCCCATGAGCCACCCAAGTCATGTGGAAACTGGCTGACTAGAAACCTCTTGGCTAGATTTTCTGCACGTGTACTTTGTAATCTATTTGGCACATGAACATTGAGTGCAGACCTCTTTACAAAGTTTAACTCTTTTTTGATCAACATTTTCAATATTACTTCCCCAAAGAGGTAGTGCTTGCCATGCACTACCTGGGATAAATCTGGGGTATGATCAGAGCAATGATTTAAGCCCCATATCTGCACAAAACACATTAGTAGAATGTGTTAACATTAAACTGTCGGTTGTTGGTTTTTTTTTTTTTTTTAAGGGACTCCTTTGCTCAAATAACCCCAAATTTGGATACTTAACTCAGCTCACCCTTTGAAGGACAGCTAATTTCAAGGCAATCTGAATAAGTATGTGGATATTAGAACACTTGGAATTAGCCTTTAAATGGGGCTTCTCAACCTTAGCTCTGCTATAAGTTATTGACAAAAGTTATCCTCTCTCTAGCTGAAAACTGTTACTTATATTGGTGACGGTAAAATATTTCCTTGGCCCAGGGAATAGAACTCTTCCATTAACTAACGAATTAACCTCAAGTTATAACACTTACAAGGAGTATTGCGACAATAAGAACATAAGAATGGCCATACTGGGTCAGACCAAAGGTCCATCCAGCCCAGTATCCTATCTGCCAACAGTGGCCAATGCCAGGTGCCCCAGAGGGAGTGAACCTAACCGGTAATGATCAAGTGATCTCTCTCCTGCCATCCATCTCCATCCTCTGACCGATAGACAGGCTAGGGACACCATTCCTTACCCATCCTGGCTAATAGCCATTAATGGACTTAACCTCCATGAATTTATCTAGGTCTCTTTTAACTGTATATAGAATTTATTTTAACTGTATATACCTTTACTCGCTGACTTAAAATTGAAAGACATCTTTAAATATATTATAGCCTGGTTCAAGAGCAGGGCTGGTTTTGTTAAATAGCTTCAGTATGGGGCAGCTCACATCGTTAGGTGAATGTCTGTGAAAGCAGGGACCAGATGGTTCTGGGGATTGGTAATTTGAATAGTCTCTTGATTTGATTTATAGTTTTCTGGTTCAAACTTAGCCCAGGGTGGTAGAGGAGTTGTTCAGTGGTCCGTTTCTTGTGATCCCGTGGGTTAAGGCATGGGTCTGGAGAATGGGATTTTATTCCAAGTTCTACCGAGAACCATGTGAACTTGAAGTAGTTACTTAAGCTGTGAACATCTTTTCCCGTCTGCAAAATTTGAATAATTTCTGCAGTTTGGAGGAATTGGGTATTAGCCATTTAAATGGTGTGGGAAGCCCTCTGTAAAACATGTTATGATCCGCTGATGAAAAGCACGACAGTGTTTAAAATAAACTGTACTTGGCATTAAATAATATTTAATGAACTTGTATGTTAGCGTGTCATGGACTGCCTCGTAAGCCATTCATGATTACAGAAAATTTCTGTGGCCACTACTGAAATTCTATGCATGAAAAATATTTGCTTTTCCACCTGTTGAGAACAGTTAGTGGTTAGTCTTTGAAAAATGCAGTCCGTCTACTTTTGCTTTCCATTTCATCTTCCCCCCTCAATATTCTTGGTTTCTCTCAGCTGACTGTAAGATGAGCCAGCACCAGCCTACCAGCTCTCGGCAGACTACCAGCAGCAGTCCATAGACTTCAGTTTGAGAACATCTGCTGTAGGTCATGGCTGAGATCTTGGTAGGGCAGTATGGGGAAGCTTGGATTGCCGCTGTGCGTTATCTGTTTGCAAATTATCTCCAGTCACTAGGGTGGTCTGTCTGGGATCTTTTACAAGCAGTACATTTACACACCTTTATACCATACACCACTTTATTTTTTTAAAAACAATCTTTATAGAGTGTATTTTCTCAGTATACAAAACTTCTTTTATGAATATTTCCTAGGTGCATTTAATCTAAAATGTAATGGTATTTCTGAGTTATCTTCAACCAGACATAAAAATGATGCAGTTTTAAAAATCTCAAACATTATACATGTGTTTTGCCAGGGGGTGTCCCTAACAGCTCAGAGAGCTGCTATTGTTGTGGGAGTGGAGCTGCCGGTCTATGATCTCACCAAGAAGCACATAATTATGTCTGGACTCATGGGAGACACTGTGTATACTCACTTTCTGTAAGTTTGAACAGGCATAAGAGTTAAGTTTACAAAGATTTATTTGTATGATTAAATCCCCTTTCAGAGGTTACACATTAATCCCTTAATGTTGGACTCTTCAGAGAACATAATTGGATCTCACATTTTGTTTTTTTCTCACTATCAGTTGAGATGTAAATATACTTCTAGTGTATTTAAATGTTTACTTGTAGTATTATTTCAAATGCCATTTCATGCCATGGAAGCTAATAGTTTTTGTGCTATTTATGTATTTTTTTGACATGTGTAGATATTTTTATTGTTCAAAATACCTACATTAGGTGTGTATATAAAGGCTGAAACTAAAATGTGTTTACTAATCTGAAAATATCAGGATGGATTTTTAAAGTGTGAAACGTGTGTGTGTGTGTGTGTGTGTGTGTGTGTGTGTAGCTCAGTGGTTTGAGCATTGGCCTGCTAAACCCAGGGTTGTGAGTTCAATCCTTGAGGGGGCCACTTAGGGGACTGGGGCAAAACTCAGTACTTGGTCCTGCTAGTGAAGGCAGGGGGCTAGACTCGATGACCTTTCAAGGTCCCTTCCGGTTCTAGGAGATAGGATATCTCCATTAATTTAATTTAATATATATATGTATGTATGTATAAAACAAGTCTTAGCTTGTGATATATTTTTTTCAGGTAAACTAACTGAAAAAGTAGTTTATTAATAGAAATGCAAACACAACTTTTAGCTATAGCATAGATATTTTTAATTTTCCATAAGAGAAGGGGTGTTTCTGTATACTTCTAAGTTGCTGGTAGTAGGTCATATTTTTATAATGGTTTATCTTTCATTAGCTCAAGCTTCACCTGTGGATTAGCTGGAGCACTTGCATCAAATCCAGTTGATGTTGTGAGGACACGGATGATGAATCAGAGATTTCAAGATGGAACACATTCAGGGTACAAGGGTACTTTGGATTGCTTGTTACAAGTAAGTACAAAGTGTATAGCAACTAGTGGTAACTTTTATACAATCTTGTGATATCAAACATGAATTAGAGGGTTTTCTGCATTGTGGATAGAAATTGTTAGCTGTTCTAGAAAGCCACTTCTGTGGTGTAGGAATTATTTTAGAGAGAACTCTGGGAATAATCCATTTTAACTTTTGAACTTGCTGTGCCATGTGCATCTTTCAAAGTTTTGGACTCAAATCATGCCCCACCTCTCCCACCTTCTGCTGTGTAAAAATTATTCTGTGTTGATGGAAAGCAAGGAGGTCTGTCTGCAGCATGGAGGAACATATATGAATTTGTTCCTTCTGGTATTTAGGTCAGGTATACTAACAGGGAATTCTTCTGATATGAGCACACTTTAAAAAGGTAATGAAAATCTTATCACGAAAATACTTATTGAAATATTGGGGACAAGGAGAAATGAGAATTTTTCAAGTTTCCTGAATATAGGGACCTCCCAAGGTTGACAGCTTCTGTCGCTATAGAAGTGTCTATGCTACAGCAGCACAGCTACGGTGCTGAAGCATTGCCACTGTAGTGCCCGTAGTCTATGGCTTAAGACTGGCAGCTTCCCCCTGCGGTGGCTACTGTATCTTCTTAACCCACTTCTTACAGCAGTGGTCACTAACCTGTCGATCGTGATAGACTGGTCGATCCTGGAGCCTCTGCCAGTTGATCACAATCTCCGGGCTGCTAAAAGTCCAGTGGTGAAGCAGGGCTCAGGCAGGCCTGCTTGCCTGCCATGGCCCCACATTGCTCCCGGAAGCAGCTGGCTGCTGGCATGTCTCTACGGCCCCTGCACCAGCCTGGAGCCCCCTCCCACACTCTGAACCCCTTGGCTCCAGCCCAGAGCCTGCACCCCCTCCCAACCCCCTACCCCAGCCTGGTGAAAGTGAGTGAGGGTGGGGAAGAGCGAGCGCTGAGAGCGGGGAATGGAGTGAGCAGGGCAGGGCCTCGGGGAAGGGGTGGGGTAGATCGTCAGTTGATCTTAAATTTAAAAAGTGATCTTGTGTGTGAAAAGATTGGAGACCACTGTCTTACAGGCTACTTGGGGAAAATATTTAACACAGGGCCACCTGCTGGTGAAGGAGGGAAATGGTACCAGAAGAAGCTGCTAGGGCCAGTAGAAAAGACTGATTTTGGTGATTGGTGGCTAAAGGTGCTGAACACTATTTTGCTGTAAGAGGATTATGGGTCATTACCTCCTGCAAGGTCTCTTGGGGAGGCTGTCTTGGAAACTAACATGAAGTAAATACAACTTGGCCATTTGTTTCAGTTGCAGGTTTTTAGGTAACTCCCACCTGTGGCTAAATCACTGTTAGAGACAAAATCAGAACCCTGGCCCCTCTGTATCTGACATGCCAGCGTAGAGGAAGCAGCATAGGGCTAAATGTTACTCATTGTAATATCTCAGCATATTAGATAGGTCTGATAGAGAGCTCCTTTCTGTCACAGATCAAGCACACCCCTGCCTTTCATTAACGAGGAACAGAACCTAGGATTTGAGACACTAGTTCAAACTTTTGATACCTCTGAATTATTTAAAGTTAGAAATAGAATGTTTAGCCAAAAAGCAAAGTGAAATTGTGGAAGGAGACTGATATCCATGCTTCAGAAACACTCCTAACTGTGGACTGTAGGAAATCCTTAAATTTACCTAACAATTCCAGCCAAGTTACATTGTCAGATGCCAAGAGTCCTGAAAGAACTCAAATATGAAATTGCATAACTACTACTGTGCTATATAACCTATTGCTTAAATCAGCCTCTCTACCAGACAAGAGGGCAGCAAATGTAATGCCTATTTTTTTTTTTATATATATATAAAGACTTCAGAGGTGATCTTGGGGAATTACAGGCTGGTAAGCCTAACTTCAGTACCAGGCAAATTGGTTGCAGCTAGGAAAGAACAAAATTATCAGACACACAAATGAACAAAATATGTTGGAGAAGAATCAACATGGCTTTTGTAAAGGGAAGTCATGCCTCACCAATCTATTAGAATACTTTGAGGGGATCAACAAGCATGTGGATAATGGTGATTCGAAAGATATGATATATACTTGGACTTTTTCCTCACCAAAGGCTTTTAAGCAAAGTGTAAGGAGTCATGGGATAAGAGGGAAGGTACTTTCATGGATCAGTAACTGGTTAAAAAATAAGAAACAAAGGGTGGGAATAAATGGTAAATTTTCAGAATGGAGAGAGGTAAATAGCAGTGTCCCCCAGGAGTCTGTACTGAGACCAGTCCTATTCAACATATTCATAACTGATCTGAAAAAAGGGGTAAACAGCGAGGTGGCAAAATTTACAGATAATATAAAATTACTCAAGATAGTAAAGTCTAAAGCTGACTAAGAATTACAAAGGTATCTCACTGAATTGAGTGACTGGGAAACAAAATGGCAGATATAATTCAATGTTGATAACTGCAAAGTAATACACATTGAAAAAAAAAATCCCAATTGTCCACACACAATGATGCACATTAAATTAGCTGTTAACCATTCAAGGAAGAGATCTTGGAGTCCTAGTGGATAGTTCCCTGAAAACACCTGCTTAATATACAGCAACAGTCAAAAAAAGCTAACAATGTTAGGAACTTTTAAGAAAGGGATAAGAAGACAGAAAATATCCAGAATGCCACTATATAAATGCATAGTATGTCCACACTGAGTATTGCATACAGGTCTGGTTGTGTTACAGTACTTCAAAAAGATTCTTTTCGCCACACCGCTTCCAATTATAATGTAATAAAAATAATTAGGAGTATGGAACGGTTTTTCCATACAAGGAGACCTTAAAAAGACTGGGACTGTTCAGCTTAGAAAAGAGACAACTAAGGGGGCTATGATAGAGGTCTAAAATCATGAATGATATGGAGAAAGTGAATAGGGAAGTGTGATTTACCCCTTCACATAAAACAAAAACTAGGGGTCTCCCAATGAAATTCATAGGCAGCAGAATTAAAACAAACATAAGTACTTCACACAATGCACAGTCAACCTGTGGAACTCGTTGCCAGAGGATGTTGTGAAGGCTAAAAGTAAAAGTGGGTTCAAAAAGAATTAGATAAGGTCATGGAAGGTAGGTCCATCAATGGCTGTTAGCCAAGATGATCAGGGATGTAACCACATGCTCTGGGTGTCCCTAAGCATGCAACTGCCAGAGCCTGGGACTGAACTACAGGCTGGATCACTTAAAATTGCCCTGTTGTCTTCATTCCTTCTGAAGAGTCTAGCACTGGCCATTGTCAGAGACAGGATGCTTGGTTGGATGGGCCATTGCTCTGAGTAAATATGGCTGTTCTTAGGGTCTGATGTCTTGTCATTACATGTTGCTTTGTGTTTTTAAAATGTATTTGTAAAGGTTCATGCTAAAAAAAAAAATCACCTTTATGTAGCCCAAATAGCAACAGGAAACATGGATATGTTTGTGCTGCAAATTAAGGGGCAATGAGTGTTGGTATGCCTATCTATGCTATAACTTTAATTTAGTACTGGTAACAGTGGCAATGAAGATATGGTAGCACGGACCTTGGTGCGGGCTAGCTGCTGGAGTACATACCTAGGATCCGCAGTGGGCTTGTGTTGGGATGGCTAGCCCATACTGTCACATCTTAACTGTTACCCTCACTAGCTAAATCAAAGCCAGTGTGGGTATGCCTAGCCCTGCTACATTTAGTCCTTAATTTGTGGTGTGGACATACCCTGTGTCACAGATTTCAGGTGTGGGTTTCCTAATCTTCACTGAGGAAGTTTAAACAGAGCAATGGGGAACCAACTTGCTGTTTGGGTTCACAATGCCGCATGGGAAGTTAAATCTCCCTCCAAAAACTTTGCAATGCAAGCTGTTTTAAAAATATACTAATCTTTCCCCATAATTCATAAAACCTAATATTCTTTGTATGTAGTGGATGACTGGGAAGGGAAAATTGTGGGCCCAGTGTAAATGAAAGATCCCTTTTTAAAATAACACGACATAAAATTGTCTTTGAAAATGGAAATTATTTCTTCAAGGAGACTCGAGTTTTTGCCTATAGTCCCATATTAATCTGCTCTGTTTGAGTTGAAATGAAAGTTATATGTTAAACGTTACTTGAGAGCAGCTGAAACTTTTAAAACTTCAAAAATGTGGGGGAAGATTTTCAAAAAACAATCTTAAACTTTTTTTGACTAGGTCTGATTCTTAATATTATGTCTAATATTTCATGTTCCGTTACTGGATAAAAATAACCCTCACTGGGCTTAAATTTAGTTTGTAATACCTCTTTACTAGTAAAGTTAAATTAGTTCTATAATATTGCTGTCAATGTGGATTATTTAATTTAAATATAGAGCAGTGAAAATTGTTGTGGTTAAAGTAAGATCTTAACTTACTCAGTCTGATGTTGGAAACTCCTGCTGTCCTATTGCTGATTCCACAAGAAGGTCACTGATCAGCAGATTTAAATGCCAAACTCCCCCTGAAAGGTTTTGGAGAGGTAGTCATGATTCTTGTCTTTGTCCAAAAACTGGATGGGCAGTAATTCTGCAACATTCCCAGTCTGAGTTGCTATGAGGTAAGAGACTATTACTGTGAATTGAACCAAGTGTCTTCCTCCTGTGGTAGCACAGAGCACTTTGTAATGGCGTTCATTATGTTAAGTATTAGCTGTTCTTTGGCTATAATCTTTCAATGAAAGTTGTCACTCTTTTCTCATTCATATGTGGTTTTAAAATATTTGTTTCAGACATGGAGGTATGAAGGCTTTTTTGCTTTATATAAAGGATTCTGGCCAAACTGGTTGAGACTCGGTCCTTGGAATATTATCGTATCCTTTTCAGAAGTGTTTGAAAATTTTTATTAAACTCTTTTTTGTGATGAGCAGTGGGCATTGAGTAGAGAGACAATTGACTAGTGAATTGTGCTTCATATAAAACATTTGGTGTAACTTGTCAGCATAAAAGTAAATTTATTCTCCATCTCTTTATAAATGGAGTATTACCAGCACCTATTGTATTAATATTCCATAAGATTTATACAAAGTTGAACCTCTGAATATAATCTTTTTTTCAAAACACATTTTCCTTTAGCTCCCAATTTCCCATTTGTTTGTTTTTAGATTGCAGTGTTTAGTTGACATACTAGTGACCAGGTCAATTAACAATTTGGGGGGTTTTGCTGTTTGAGTTTATTTTCTGCATTAAAAAAACTGTTTGCAGATGGTCACAAGATCTTTTCACCCACCATTTTCTACCCTATTATGCAACTTGTACAGTAGACCATTTGCCATCTATTTATCCTTAAGTTCTCATTGTTTTGTGAGACGCTAAGAGGCAGCTGTAATATTCCTTTCTCTCTTCCCACAAACAAGAATCTACACACCTTCATAGTTTCACCCACTAAGAAGATAAGAGGCAAAAAGACTCTGGGTTCCTTTCCTATTATGGCCTCTTTGACCTTTCCCCAATTCTAACTTGCATATTTAAGGTGCTTGGGATAGAATCTGGGGAAGGATTAGGCTGTACTAGGAGGAGGATCCTGTTGATGAGAGTAACATGCACTGAAACAAGTTTCCCCATTAGCAGTTTGCTACAATGTTCCCTAGAGTTCTCTGTGCCCAGGACTATAGGGAACATTATAGCAACTGATGGAGAGGAGTGACTTGTCTTGTGGTGGACTGGTGGTTGTGTTAGGAGGCATTTAATGGGAGACCAAAGTTCCATAGGCCTGCAGTCGGTAGTTAAATGAATGTGGTAGGTATTATGCATCACAAATGTGTTAAAACAAAAAATGCAGATATCTGCAATTGTTTTCCTTGACTAATTGCACCAGTTCTTTTTGACATATGAACAGCTGAAGAAATTGGATTTCTGAAAGATGCTAGATTGTGTAATAAATCAGTAAACTGTGCTGACATGGTATTTGAACTCAAGGCATCTTTTTAAAAATGCTCTTCAGTGTTTTCTCATCGGAGCATAGGACTTGCTGGCAAAATGCAGTAAGAGCATCAGAAGAACATTGTAAATCAAGACTATACATAAAATGATCTCAGAACTGAGGATGCTTAACTGATATGCCAAATGCTATGCACCAATTATTGAAATAGAACCTAAAGTTGGCAATACTCCTCTATCAACTGTTTAAATGCTGTTAGACATAATGTATGGTACAACTCCAAAGGTTTTTCTGCTGAAATGTTGTACTTCTGGATGAAATTTTAATAGGAAAAGAGCTACATCTGTTTGTCCAGAGGTAAGTAGGTTATGGAAGAGCCTCACTCTTTCGTCCATGCTCATGAAACTTGATATATTAATGTGGTCATAAATAGTTCTGAAATTTTCGATGCCTTGGAGTTCAAGAGCAGACACGGAAAATTTTATTCCTAGTGACTCCAGGTCTTTGTAAAAGTATTTGTTAAATGAACTTCTGGATTCAGAGCACATTTCTGTTGCCTTCTATCATTTAAATGTATATGTAACTTGCGCTGGGAGCAATGAAGCTTCAGTTTAACGTAACTTGTTACTGTCACCATTTTGCATGTTTGAGAAAAGTCTGGCATTTTTTAAAATACCTTATTCTTGGTCTTCAATAGAAGGGATTCTAACATGTTTCATCAAGAAATTAATATCTATAGACTTTTAAAAATGTAGTAAAAATAGAGCATTCACTCTCCTATCTGCCTCCTGTGCAAGAGGGAATTAATTTTTCAATACTTGTTTGATTCTTATGAAGAGGATCTGCTTTAAGCAGTTAGTGGCTGTCACACATCACCTGAAAGATGCATGCTACACATTGAGGCTGTTGAACCACTGAAAGCTCAATAAATGCAGATGTTTACATACAGAGAGCATACATCCAAAAGAGGCAATCTAATGTATTGCTACCTTGCTAAACAAGAATTCTAGGAGAATTGTGCTCATCAATGTTGATACTTTCATTTAGCAAAATGAGTTCAGTTGAAGTTACTTTAATAGAACTTCTTTTAAGAGCAGTATGAGTCGAATTCTGTGTAGGTTCTACTTTTTCTTTGAATTGTGCAACAAAACTTTCTGCCATAAACTAAAGAAAATTAGTATCAGGATTACTGTATGAATGCAATTTATTCAGTTACAAAAGTATGGGAGTGAATGCCTATTCTGGATCCACTGCGGCTTGCAGTGTAGGATTATTAAGTGTACAGTTAGTTGTGGTGTATGGAGATTCCATCTTGAAACATTCGTTACAATACCTGCATATTCATACATTCCACTTAAACCAGTTCATGTTCTAGTGTGGATTTAACTCTTAATATTTCAGTGTTTAAATGGTTGGTTTCAAGATGCACAAAGTAGGTATTTTTTAAATGCACAAGGCACTTTTCTTCTGAAAATACCAAGCGTTAAGGTAAAAGCATTACTTTTCAAAGTGTTTGAATATTTTTAAGGCAAAAATTATGATGCATAGGTATGGTCGTGTGTGCTGTCTGTATTACTGCAATTCTTCTACTTTTGTGTAGAAATCTTTGTAAAATATTTTTTGTACAGAATGTAAAACAAAATTAAGGATATATCATTTAAACTTTTTAGAACTTAAACAGTTTTTAGAATGAGTAAAATGCATTGTTGCTATGTTGAGGGACATTTGCTTACAAATGGAACCTAGGGATCGTTCTGAGGCATTTGGTTAGAGTGTAATTAGGATGGTCAGAGAATTTTCTGCTGGTACTGCAAACTGTATGTTGTAATTCATCATTTAGCTACATTAAAATGGGGTTCCTGTAACTAAAAATGTACATTTCAGACAGTCTCAATAGGCTAATAGTAACAAAAATCATGTGGGAAGTCTGACGAGCTAATTCACTTCCAGTTTGACAGGCTTGTAGACCCAAGGGCTCCATGATGGTAGAAAGGGTCAGACTGTCCTTTGGATGTTCGGTACCCCCCGCTGCTTAACACCAGAATCTTTGATCCCAATTGGAATGCCTTTGTTTGCAAAGGGTTGCTGTGGGTAAAATGGAAATCCTGACCGTAACTACAAGTGTTTAGAAGTCCTCACAGTTCTCAGTGTCTCTTATGCTGCCCTGATGTTAAGGAAGAATTAGTGTTCCCCAACCTTTTCCAAACCATGACTCCATGTTACAACAGAAAAGTCTTGGGACCACATTCTCATCTAACTATAGAGAAAAGGAATGTTTGCAATTTCCCAGAGTGAGATCCCATGCCACAGATATTGAAAACACTAGCTTACAATCCTAATGGCATGAAGGCATCAAAATAGCCTTGCCCAGCAGTGCCAGGGCTCTTAAACAACTTCTCTTAAGGAAAAGTCTGGGGGGAAAAAAGACATTTAAGCTAAGTTAAATGTTTGAAATTATCAGTTGTAATTGTACTTTCACCTACACATTCGTATTAATAGTATGAGCCTCTTGCAGAAATGTTCTGTTATTTTTCTGGTATGACTGAATTCTCAATGCTGCTTGATATGCAGAATGGGCAGGTTACCCCAATCCACTATACCATAAAGTTGAGTTTGTGGGCAGTGTATATGCAAGTATATTGTCTCATTTGCAGTAATATGCACCACCTGTCAAATGACATTACTAACCCTTCATGCTGCAACTTATCACATTGAAAGGGATATGCAAATATTAAGAAAATCACCAAAGCAACTATCTTTATTGTGCCCAAAATCATCGACTTATAGAATTGCATCACTTTGTTTTCATATTAGATCATATCAGTGTGTTCTGAAATATTGAACATATGTTTCATTCAGCCCAATATGTTACTGCTGCTCATAGATTTATTGTGCTAGTGAAGTTATTTATTCATATGGAATGTTACAGGGAAACTGAATGTTTTTATGCTTTGTATTCACATGCCTTATCTGCATGGGAAAACGTGTCTTATTAAATAATAAATACATGTGGGGGGAGAATGTAAGATGCTTTGGCCTGTGGGGAGCTAAAATAAATTTTCTAAACTCACTCGACTTGATTTTCCCATTTCAACAATGCTTATTGCCCAATTAACAATCAAGACTGTTTGTAAATCCTCTTCACCCCTAGATCTAAGTAAAACACGGTGATTTAATTCTGCCAACCTACTAATATCGTGAAAGTTTAACCATTTTTTTGGTCTTAGTTTTTTTTTTTTTTAAATGCCCTAACTCTGCTTGAAGTAGGGAGATGCTGCTGTACTGGCTGAGACAGAAGAAAGGCATGTAGGGCCATATTTTTAAATGTACTTGGATGCCAATCTGCATATTTAGGCACCTAAATACCTTTAAAAAGCTGGACTTTAGTATCCCCCCTCCTTTGCTGGGAGGCTCCAGCAGCTGAAGGTAAATGCCATCTTTGTCTCCTTCCTCCCATATTTTGGAGAGGCTGGGAGGACCACAAACCTGCTGCAGACTTTGAGGGGAGCAGAGACCTACCAATTAGGGTGGTAGAGAAAGGGGATGTGACCTGAGAGGCTTGATGTCAATTCTGAAGGAGTTCAGTAAGAGAAGCCTATTCTTGTAGCTCTAGAACTGCCCTGAGCTGGCTTCTCTTCAGTGGCACAGCATGTTCCTTTCTTCCCCCTAAGGCAGTGGTTTTCAAACTGCGGGTCACGACCCAGTACTGGGTCATGGAATGTAAGGCACTGGGTCGCGATGGCTCTGATCAGCACCACCAACCGGGGCGTTAAAAGTCCCTACCTGTTCTGACACCGCGCTGTGCCCCAGAAGCGGCCAGCAGAAAGTCCAGCTCCTAGGTGAGCAGGCTATGGGGCTCTGAGCACCAGCTCCGCACTCACATTGGCCGCACTCCTGGCCCGTGGGAGCTGGGGGTAGGAGGGCCATGCCTCTGCTAGGAGCCGGACCTGTTGCTGGCTGCTTCTTGGGCACAATGTGGTCTGCGGTGCCAGGACAGGCAGGAAGGCTGCCTTATCACCCCCACTGCACTGCTGACTATGAGTCCCCTGAGGTGAGCCCACACCCCAACCCTGTGCCCTAATCCCCTGCCTCAGCTCCCCCAAACCCCCTTTGCATGCCAAAACCCACATCCCTGGCTCCACCCCAGAGCCTGCACCCCACCCCAGAGCCCCCTCCCACACCCTGCAGCTCAACCCTCTGCCCTAGCCCTGAGCCCCTCATCCCCAGCTCTGTTGGGTCACGGGCATCAACAATATTCTTCAACTGGGTTGCCAGAAAAAAGTTTGAAAATCACTGCCCTAAGGTATCAAATGCCAGTTATTTGGGATATTTATAAATTGGGCTCTCAAAGTTGGGGCAGGTGGGCAAAATCAAAAGTTAGGGACTAGTAGCAACTTGCATTGTGCTTGAGGGACTCAAGCTGTAATAAAATACTTCATCCAGCATCTGTCTGAAATACTACCTTTTTAAGCACCTAGAGGTCAGGCACAATCAGAGCACATTCTGTAGCAATGTTAATTCTATCATGAATTTTGCACCTCCACACAGCTGTCACTCTTAGTGGAGTGTAAAATGTAGCAAATTTTTGGACCATCTTTGAAGATGAGGGTTTTTTGCCATACTCCTTGGACACTGTCCAAGCAACTGGCCCCAGAACCTCATTCCTATTGTATATTCCAAAGAAGTATCTCCTTCAGACAGCCTAAACTGCCAGCCTGCACTTCTGGTTCCTGTTGCTCCCTGGCTGCAAACTAAACTCTAGCTCCCATTCCCTGCACCTTTGTTGCTTGGTTCCATGGAAAAGAGCAGGAGGAAGTATGCACTGTAATCAGATTAACCACACCTTGTAGGGAAAGCTAGAGCACAAGATGCAGGACAGGAAAGGCAAAAAACAATTATAGTGTGCCCAGCTACTGCAAAATGGTGAATGCCATAGCAAAAATGCCAAGTCTGTATTTTAGAAAAGTCCAACTCTAGCTGTGGAATCAGAGTGCAGAGCCTCTTATGATAGATAATGCAGATCCACCTCACTTATTTTCAAGTTCTTTCCAGGCTCTGGCAGGCACCACTGCATCAGTTTGTACTGGGGTTACATTTTCAAGGTTATCTCTATACCTACAAGGGCTAGAAACATTTCTTTTTTAAGAGCAAGAGCTCAGATAATGGAGTACAACTCCATACCAAGGAGTCAATTCTGCAGCATATTCCATCACAATAGAAGTAGACAAAGCCTGAGTATAGTGTGATTTATTACAGATAATAATTAGTATTTTTAAAAAGCCTCTTCAGTTTTCAATCTGGATTAAATTTGATCACAGCACCACATCTCAAACAATTTAGGAATGTTTAGAGACTTGATCATTTTGAAATACATTACTTAGAGATGAAATTTAAAGTATAATTTGTTTTCTAAAACAGTACTAACCATGCCTTTTTATATCAAGATCTTATGTTTATAGTTAGCTGTAGTTATAATTGCCATTACACTGAAGTGTTACATAGCTTTTTGTACTGCTTGCAGTAATATGTGCAGGTGTAGCAACATGACATGGCTGTTTTATAATCCACAGCCATTACCTTCAGTTATACATAAACATAAAAAAACAAACAAATTAAAATCTGAAGAGTTCACTCCTCACAGAAACATAGAAGAAAAAGTTCCCAAAAGCTTAGGTTTTGTTCACCTAAGTCAGTTAGTCTTTGATCAGCAAATCTATAGTCTGCTGATTCTAAAATAACATTTTCCCTCCACTTGCTTGTAGGAATCTTCAGTTGGAATCTATGCAGACTCTTCCTCTGCTGAAATCACTACTTGCCAGTCAGCTAACTGATTAAATCTATACACTTAACTGAATGATTGGTTAAAGAAAATCCTGCTGCACAATGCTTCTGGGCTCAGCTCCTAACTCACACAGCACACATGGCCCTCTGAAAAGCAGCTGCCTGACTGCTTGCCCTCATGGAGTCTGACCCCGGCAACAGGGAACCTATTGGAGCATACCCAAAACTACCACTCCCAATTCCAGAAGCTTTGGGATGTGGAGTGATTAATCTGCCTAGCAACAATGATACAGACACAACTCACTCCTACCTCCCC